GATGCTGCATCTTGGCTGCAGCATCAGAATGTAGAGCCAGTTTGTCCCCTTCAGGCCTCAGATTGTGGAAACACTGTCCTTCTGTCTGTCCGTCTGTCCTTCTGTCTGTCTGTCTGTCTGTCTGTCTGTCCTCACCTTCAGTACAAACACACACTGAACATGTCTGTCCCCAGCTCAGCTCAGACCAGCAGCAGGTACGATGTCTCCTCCTCAGCTCAGTCTGACCCTCGGTGTCTCTCACACTCTGTTAGTTAAAGTTTAGTTAGGTAAAGATTCAGATCTCCTCACAGTCACCAAACCATCCAGCTGCTTGTTTACCTGTCCAAAAAACTCCTCTGAAAAATCCCCTGACATTCCAGGAATTCCAGGACCAGTGAATTATGTTCAAAGGGAGTCCTGCAGGTCCCTGACCCGCAGCCTGAGAACAAATGCAAATTAAACTCTGTCTTTTCTTTCTGTTCACTGCAGAACCAACAAAAACACAGCGACTGAGACTGAGACTGTTTAAGATTCTCACAGAGACGACTGCAGCAGAAAATAAGAGCTGTTTTTAATCTGTGAAAAACATTTCTCATCAGAGCAGTGAATTCCAGATGTCATGAAACTGAGTTTAAGACACTACACAGTGTTACTGTTTGCATAAATCTAAATCTAAACTCTATTTCTCCTTCCTTTTAAATTCAGCAGACACAAACATGAAGAAGAGTCAAAGTGAAGTCTGACTCTGTGTCTCTGATCTGTTCACAGGTGATGGACAAAAACATTCCTCTGACTCTGAATCAAGTTTCCAGCAGAGACAAATAAAGCTGCAGAGTGTGACGGCTGAACGAGCAGAGCACTCACCCTCTGAGACCGGAGCCCCACTCCCCCTCAGCTCCTCTCTGTGCTCAGGGAGACTAAATCCAAACAGGACAACAGCGACGGGACAGACTGAGCACCAGGAACAGACACAGTCAGTAGAGCTCCACAGTAGAGTCAGAGGAGCTCCAGCAGGGAGAGTTTAGTCCAGCGTGTGTTCACAGAGAAGCTCCCTGACAAACTCTCAGCCTGCAGGCTCTCACAGCTCCGCCCACAGCTCCCTGTCTCTACCCTCTGTGTGTCTGGTTAAAGCATGTGAGTCTCTATCAGATTCTCTGAGGTCACCAAACAGCTGCTAACACACACACACACACACACACACACACACACACACACACAGTGTGAGTGTTGGCAGCAGTGTGCAGGACATTCTTTGGACAGTGAGTTAAATCTTAAAATAGTGCAGAATCCTTGTGAACACCTTCAGCACACTGAGAGCTGCTCAACAACAGTCTGATTGTCTGACCCACTGTTTCATATGAACTATGACTGAGTGACGTTCAGGTGTCTCTGGATGATCGTCTCAGGCTGAGAAGATGGAAGTAAACGGCACTTAACCCTCCTGCAGACTGAGAGATCTGCTCAGTTTAGTGCAGCTCCACTGTGTCACATAGATCTAATAAACATCCAGTGTGATGTCAGCAGACTGTACGATGACAGCGCTGACTGAATCACAGGCTACGACGTACGATGTCACAGCTTCATGTACTGAGTGATGCTGCAGGGTTATTACTGAGACTGTGAAGCTCAACATGGAGGCAACATTAATAACATTAATACAGTTATTATCATCAATAACATGTCAGACAAGACAAATTTATCGAAAATATGAAAACTAATATAAAGTTTTGTGGGCACTATCCACCTTATTTTCAAACACGGAAGTAAATAGTGATCAACTTCCGTTTTTTTTGTGCGTGACTTCCGGTCAGCCGCTTTCCCTCATGCTTTCCCTTACCGGAGCTAACGGTGCAAGCTAATTTTTTTTTTCAATTTTCAGTTGTTTATGTTAGTCAATCAGTTAGTTAGTTAGTTAGTCTGTGTATTTTGTATAACGTTAGATAACTGTGCCCACGTTTCCGTTATAACGGAAATTTATTCCCTCTAAACGCGAATAAATCGCACGTCAATCATAAACTATGAACCAAAAAAGCACAATCTATCCCGAGTGAGACAAACTGCTTGATCCCCGTCTCCAGTGTACCAGCAGAGATGGTTCTGTGAATCTGAGTCGCTCTTATATGACGTCAGTCACCAGCAGTCCGTCACTGAACACATGTGACAGGCCACAAGATATAAACAGGAGTCGAACACCAGACACGCTAAATGAGAACTGGTGTGTCACAAACCAGCAGTGAGCCTCGGCACAAAGCACCTGAAAACTTTCAGTAAGAGCTTTGCTTCTCTTTTCTCCAGCAGGTATAACTCATGTGTGACCTGCGTGTTGTTCCTCACTGAAGCTTCCACGCCCAGACGCTGATATTTGGGACTACAGGCTACACACGGACACACACTGACACACACGGACACACATGGACACACACGGACACACTAACACACTGACACACACTGACAGACCACTGCTGCAAAGTGCAGACCATAACAGAATCTAAAACGGGTTTGATGTCATGAAAACTGCAGGATTATCATTTTTGGGACACTTGGGAAAAGAGAGGTTAACACCTGGAGGAACAGTTGAACAGATTTATGGAGCAGACGCATATTTTTAGGAATGAAAAGAGGTTATTTTCAAATCTGAGCTCAGCTATTTTGGAGAGTTGATGGTGTGGTGTGAAAAGCTTTTACAGGACTCCAGGGTCAGGAAATCCACTCAGCACGTCTGAGGAGAAAATTTAGGTTCCAGCAGAAGAAAGAAAAACAGCTGAGGTGTTTTTATTTCTTCTGACAGCAGCTGGAAGAGATCAGACCGACATGTCTCAAACATTCCTGCTGTTATCAGCTCTGTTAGGATTCATGTGTTACACCGCCGTCACTGACCAACACCATCACACCGTGTACACTGACTGTCCTCACAACATTTATATTAATCACAGGACGGAAACATGTTTGATTTAATCACAGATCAACATTAGACACACAGTAAGGTCATCATGATGTCACAGTAAGGTCATCATGATGTCACAGTAAGGTCATCATGATGTCACAGTAAGGTCATCGTGATGTCACAGTAAGGTCATCGTGAGGTCATCGTGATGTCACAGCTAAAGAGACTGTGACACAGAATAAAACAGACTGTTACTAAGATGTGACATGTGTCCTGTTTGTCATCTGACATAAATCTTTGTTTCGTACTGAGGGACGTCGGCGGCAACCTGAGGACTGAAACATGAATCCAAAACCTGCAGTTCCTCTACTGTCCACTAGAGGCTGGCTCCTACAGTGAGTGTGTCATGTTCACAGCCTGTCTGGTCTCTGGAGATCATTTCAACATTCATAACAACTTTTATAAAACTCACCTGTTCACATTTTATTAAGGCTTAAAGTTACACATCATGAAGGGGGCGGGGCCTCTTCCAGTGGTTATCTGCTGACAGTAGACAGCGCCACCCTCTTGCCCAAATATGGTCACTACTGGCTCTAAAAAACCAAGATGGTGACGGCTCAAACGCCGAACTCGAGGCTTCAGAACGGGAGACCACAAACCAGTGGGTGAAGTCACGTTAGCTATGTACATTATTTTTACAGTCTGTGACATCCCTGGTTCCACCGCTGGAACTGCGTCACCAGCTGTAGTAACTGAACGAGCAGCACCGCATGATAGCTCCCACCTGACCCAGGCGATGGACACACTGAGCCAATGGAGCGCCGGACTGAATGGCAACGCCTCGTGTATTTCACATCATTTTAGTTGCCAGTGAAACAAAGAAACACTGAAAGGGAAACAGCCTGGAGCCAAACCTGACGCTCGCCATGTGCCAAATGTGTCTGCCACATTGGCTGGTTAACGTTAGTGACACAGTGTTCTGGTGTCATTAAGACACACACTGCTCCTCTGTCCTGTCCTGTGTACACACACACACACACACACACACGTTGCTACTGTTGTGCGTGTTATTGTTGTGTGCTAACACTAACTGGCAGGTGGGCCTCCTAACATCAGTGACCTTTGACCTCAGAGGGTCTTCAGTGGTCACAGAGGGACTCAAAGTGTCTCTGGGGAGAAGACACGAGGGTGAATGTGAATGAATGAATAATAATCAGTGTCTCACAGAGAGAGGACTCAGCTGTGCTCCGACACTCACTCAGAGTTCACAGTCAAACACATTCAGCTCTCAGACTCATTCAGTCCGTCAGCAGCTCCAAGTTCTGGTTCTGGATCATCTCATCTGATCCACTTCAATATCAATACAAATATAACTTCAGGATACTGACAGTATCATTCAGTCTACAGAATACAGAGACAATAAAATACAGTTATTATGAACTAGAATCCCCGCCCCCTGGTTATATGACTCCTCCCACCAGTCCACCCTGTGGTTGTATGACCAATTCAGTATCTGACCAAATGTCTCCCCTTCTGTTCCTGAGATATGACGTTAAAACATGATGATGTCACAGTCAAGCTGATCTTTGACCTTTTGACCTTCATTATTTTATCCTGTTAGGCATTTGTGTCAAGTTTGGTCAGAATTAGTGGATGAATTCTTCAGTTATGGACAAAAACAGGTGTTGTGAGGTCACACTGACCTTTGACCTTTGAGCACAATATTCTGATCAGTTTATTCTTCAGGTGAACGTTTGTGCCAAATTTAAAGAAATTCCATCAGAGTGTTCTTGAGATATTGTGTTGACAAGGTTGGGACAGAGAGACAGACAACCTGAAAACATAATGCCTCCAGCGGCGTCTGTCGCCGGACGTATTTAAAGTTTGGTTGATTCAGTGATAGCGAGCTGACAGCTCAGCCACGACGATCAGAACTCTGTGTGTGTGTGTGTGTGTGTGTGTGTGTGTGTGTGTGTGTGTGTGTGTGGAGCTGCACTCACAGTGAAGCAGCTGTTACACACTGAGATTAGACGTAAGACGCAGTGGATCTCTGAAGTCACATGACAATAACAACACAATAACTGTACATTTACCACCAGTGATGATCATCCATCTGTGTGAGGTTAATGACTCTTACCTTTATCTGTAGCTCCGCCTCCAGGGTGGATGTTAATAAACTGACCTGTAAAAAACACAGAACAGGATCATATTAATACACACACCTGAACACACACCTGAGCAGAACACACACCTGAAGAGAACACACACCTGAACACACATCAGCTTCATCTGGCTTCTGTAACATGGTGACAGTGTTCTACATGGATCAACAGCCTGTCACAGGTTAGAGCGAGGCACCAGCCTGCTGTGACCCTGGACGCTGAGGGGGCTGAATCTGTGTTGCTGCAGCCACTTACTGAGGGTCTGTCTCCAGAGCTGTGGCTGTTCTCCACCCAGCAAAGTAGTCTGTGAGGTGGAGTGTGAGGTTGGAGGGTGTGCAGGGTGCAGCTAGCTAACTTATCTCATCAGTGAGGAGGAGCTGAGAGATTCAGCAGTCTGTGAGCAGCCTGAAACATCTCTAAACACTTCACTGTACGTCTCCTCTCACTGACTGCAGGCTGCAGGATCCTGTGAGTGAATGAATGAGTTGGCTGAGAGCTGCATTCATTCACACAGGCCTGGACATGAAGTCATGATGTTGGCAGGCTTCATGTCACCATGTGCTTTGTGTAGTACTGTAGCAGGAATGTGTGGATTCAGCCAAACGGAGCATGAATGTGGAGAACTCATACACATTAACTGTCTGCTGTAACTCCTCCAACACAGCCTGCAGCAGCAGCAGAGCTCGGGCCAACACTGGCACAGCTCGTGATCAACGACTGTTGGCTGCAGAGAGTGAAACTAAACCAAATGACAGACTGTTAACACGCCTGGAGAGGATCGAGTATTGTTAGTGACAGTAAGGAGATAAGGAGAGGACTCACACTGTCAGCAATATGACCACACACACACACACACACACACACACACACACACACACACACACACGTTTCTAAAGGTTCAAACATGCTGCACATTTTTCTTTCATGCTCTGATGAGCTGCAGCCTATGTGACTCGACCCACTGAGTGCAGGTCATTTATGTTGCTGCGGCACATGAACCTCTGCACATTATAACCATGAAGGTGTGAAGATAAAAACCTGCTGCAGACGGTTAGAGAGGCCATCACACTGAGCATCACATCTGTGGATTCAGATCAGGATTATACACCTCAGGTTCAGGGAGGTTTTCTACAGAACACAGACGTGTCTGTAACTCTGAGAAACAACACGTTTGAGTCATCCACTAGCTCACCTGGTAGAGCGGGCATCCCATGTGCAAAGGCCATGTCCCAGCCACAGGTTCAATTCCAACCCTTGCTGCATGTCCTCCCCTCTCTTTCCACCAATGCTAACCCTTCCTAACAGAAAGCTCAAAACGACAGTCACACATAATTAAGTGGCTGCTCACCACCTTGTTTAGCTTGTTAGCATCCTAGCTAGGGACGTCCCAGTCAAGACTTTGTGCCTCTGATCTTGATACACCGAGTACCTATTGATACAAAGTCCTGATCCAATACTTAAGGAAAGATCCCTGCATCTAAACTGTTTCTACATGAAGTGCCCCAGAAAAGGTCCTAAAACCAAACAGTGAGTTAGCATGTTAGTAGTTAGTTTACAGCCTAACGTTAGCTTCTTACCTCTGCTGATTGAATTCATTCTTCAATAATCATAGAGTGGTGTTCATTAGTGAAGATTATCTCACTGAACAAAACCTGGAAGGATCAGAAACGAGTTTAGAGTTTATTTTCTGTAATAAACAAGAATCCAAAAGAAAAATGTCATTGGCTGTTTGAGGAGGGAACCAGCGCGACGCTGACTTCAGGGTCAGACTACAGAAAAACATCATCGCTGCTGCACTGTATCTTTTATCTTATTTTTCTACAAAATAAAGTATAAAATAATCATTTGGCCTCGTCAATGTCTCAAGGGAATCTGTAACTCTTAGCAGAGTGCTCTCAGTGGTTGTTGCCTCGGTGCCGCTTTTCTTAACTGAATGAACTGTGGTAAATTGACAGTTTATTTTCATCACCTGTACGTCTTTACCATGGATCACATGAACAAACTAGCCCACTCTTATGAGCTCTTTGCAGGGATTGTGTTGAATTTACAGTGGTGCGGTGACAGTGACAAACCGCTGTCTGTCTGTCTGTCTGTCTTCTGCCCGTGTTGAAACACAGTGCTCCAGAGACGAAGGTCAGACACGAGACTCTCACACTGAGCTGAAAGGAGTGACATAAATAAGCACTGCACTGTGCTGTCTTTTACGGCGTGCTGTGTTTCTCAGCAGGCGTGGTGCACAGTGAAGGAGAGACAGATTTTGAAAGTTGACAACAGCTGCACTTGTTGCGTTGCTGTGCACAAAGCTTCACCAGTAAAAACGCCTGTGTGACAGCTGGAGTAAAACAAAGGACCAGATCAGACTCAATAGAACTGATCAGTTCAAAATGCCTTGATCGGCCCGTTATCCATCTTTGAGATCAGACTGAGACATCACTAATTATCAGTAAACACGGAGTCCAGCTGAGGCGGGTGTGAATGTCATCAGTTCTGCAGGTACATATTGAACCAGAGTATTGGACACACCAACATGTTGACCTGATGATGGCGACAGATGAAGGACAAAGCTATTACAGTTCATCCTGAGGGAAACATGAATGATGAACCATATTTCATCTCAATCCATCCTACAGATGTTTCAGCCTGAACAAATCTGCTGACCTGGTTAAAATCTGGAAGATGAGGGTTTGATTTGGCTTCAGTAAAGCTACCTGAGTTTAATAACAGGCCAACGAGCAGAAGATGTTTTTATATTTTAACTCTACACTTTAATCTTAAGCTGACGGATCTGTCTGTGACTTTCTTCTTCTTCTTCTACACCTACAGAGACATTTACTCTCTGAATTAAACAGCTCCCTGCCGTCTCTCTGTTCTTGCTGTGAGTGCAGATTTTGTCATGCTGTTCTGTTGTGGTGAGCAGCTTCAGGCCTTGAACGGGCCTCTGTGGAGTCCGCCTTAAATCCAAACCTTTGAGGTGCCCGCCAGGCTTCCCTGGAGGACTCCCTGAACCCCACACTTCAACCTGACTGCAGCTTCAATGGCCTCAAACAGCCTCCTTTCAAACAACTGATGAATATGCAGAGAGGAGGACGGGGGCACGAGGTGAGACGGGTCAGCTGACTGACTGCACAGTAAATGACTGTTAACTCTTACAGGCCCAGTTTCACTGATGCAGGCTCGTTCTTTTCACACTAATGTTTGTTCAAGTGTTTATTTTTCTGATAAGTGTTTTTATTTAGCTATCTGATGCTGTAAAAACGGGGAGGTGATGTCATGATTGACAGCTGCATGTATCAGTCAGGTCTGCTTGCAATCAATAGCGTAGCTCACGATTGGTCAGACGCTGTATGAGCGGGAACCCCAAAACACGGATCCACTTTCCAACTATGGGTGTGCCGTATGAACTCGTTCATGATTATACCACAATACTTTTTAATATCACATGAAAAATTCATACCGTGATATTCGTGATATTTGGACTTGTTGACATATTGACATCATACTGTTACCCACGGCAACAACAAGCACGTCTGAAAGTGAAATAAGCGTGGCGTCGTTAGGCCTGGACGTCCTGAATGTTTTATCAACAGTCCCAGATTTGTCAGACTGTCTAAGCGAGTTACCGTGAGTTTCCCTCCCTGCAGAGGAAACTCAGTCAGCGGCTCCTCTGGCAGCAGCACAGCGTCTCTCCTCTCTCGGCATGCGCACACGGGAGTCACTGTCATCAAGTGATTAAACCTTTAGTGATGTAAAGCTACGTCGAAAAACTCAATACATGTGAATGTCTCCTAACAGGCTGTCACAGCCTGATGATCAGAGATGATTTATAGATCCCAGGGGACATTTGTTTGAATAGGTAATTAGTGGCAGATTTAATTTAGTTGAACTATGAATATTGTAACAAAATCTGAATCTGACTCTGAGTTACTGCTGTTGTTCACAAACTGAAGAAATGAAAGAGTGATGACAGGTTATTACTTGTGACGTATTACCAATCAGATGGTGCTGTGAGCGTGACACTGAGCCAGGCTACAGAGTGGTGACATAATTAATCAGCGATCACATTTTCAATTAAAAAACAAAACAAAACAAAGAAAAACGATGCACCTCCATCCATCCATCGCAGACAGGAAGTTACCCATGATGCACCTCCATCCATCCATCGCAGACAGGAAGTTACCCATGATGCACCTCCATCCATCCATCGCAGACAGGAAGTTACCCATGATGCACCTCCATCCATC